AACGTTCAAATATAACTACATCTGCCTGTTCATTACAATTTAAATTCGTCGTAAATTAGGCGCTTATGTGTCTTTTTAAATGACCTCTTGTCATTCTCTGTAATTAACATGTCATTGCGTCAAATTCGGAATTCTTATTTTTATTTAACATAATTTAGTTTTCACTTTTATTTTTTATTTATTATTATCTTATAACAGATTTGATTTTTTCTTCTTTAAAATGTTTTTTTTTTCAGTGATCCCATCCGTGATCCGATCCGCGATCCGATCCGCGATCCGATCCGTGATCCAATCCGTGATCCGGTCCGGTCCGATCCAGGTTTTGGCGACGCCGCCCCAGGAATGCTGACATAGTGTCGCATTCGGTAAACGCGTACAAAAACGGAAGCGTACGGCATTTCTGCTCGCCCAAATACTCACAAATGGTGTTAACGGGAAGCAGCTGGGAATTCTTTCTCATCCCAAAGGCGACCCAAAAGCTCAATCCAGGCCAAGTTAAAGACAACGTGTGGAACTGCGCAATTAGAACAACAAGAACATCTGTGTCAACAGTGCGAACTAAGACACTTTTTCCCCCCTTATCCAAGGCATCTTTAACGTGTACGAGAATCAGCGTGTCTGCTTCTTCGTGGTTACAGCTACGCATTTGGTTCCTGGGGCAACTTGAGATGACGTTTTCACCTAAAACAAAAGATGACACAGTCAATATAACTATTCGTGAAGACTTGATGGACATAAAAAGAAGTTGAACGGTGTCTATATAAAAGACCTGCTCAAAAATTGGTTTGCATCTTACCCGAAGTTATGTAGGCAACTTTTTGTCAACTGGAAAGGAAGCTGTTTCAACTTGCTTAGCTGAGGAGTCGAGCAGTTCCTTCTTGTTAGAGGAATCTTCGAGAATCGCCCGCCAGTTCTTAGGTAACCTGACATGCCCAGCCACCTTTCGTCTCACGCTTTTCCCTCTCTTCTCACGGGCAGCTTCTTTCAGACTTGCCATTTGGTATTCATCCCAAACAATGTCAATTCGTTTGGTACTCTTCACGTGGTTTTCCAGGAAAGGTAAGAACCTGGAATCTGCATGTTCAGAAAACGTTGCGACGAATAAAACTGGAAGCGCATGCACAATAGCTGCTCCATCAAAAACTTTGACGTCGTAAGACACTGGTGGTGGAGGTGGTGGTGTTTCTTTCTTGACATGTGCAATCAAATCAGACTTTTTCCCGAATCGGAGATTGCCAAACTCTGACAAAGAATGTGGATACGGCTGATTTTCATGCTTGAAGAACTCTTCATGATCTACCTCGCGCTGTTGGCTGGCAATATATAAACGACTGAAGAGGTAACGGTCACTTGTTACCG